GCATGTCATATCTGGCAATTTTCACCTGGAGGAAAAATTTACAACACACTTGTTTCTGCAAAAACATTATCCAACTGTAAATGGAATTGATGGGTTAATAATATTCCCATCTTAAACTTATAGTCAAAGCGTCACCTGCAGGCTGGGTGAAATGTCATGTCTTGTTTTTCACCCTGTGTCCACTACCAGATTGTCAGATCCATCCAAAGATCTTCACGTCCCCAACATGTTGATGAGTCCATAATGTAAAAGACACAGGAAGTTTGAAAAGTCGTGTTGCGACAGAGTCCAGTCTTTCTCGTTCGTCCACTCGTCTGTGTTAGCAGAAGAACAGTTTGATTCTTTAAGTCGTCTTTGACTCTGTGACCCTCAGAACAGGTCACGGAGGTCTCAACGCAGTCGCCTCAAATGTCTGGCTGAGTTCGTATTTCGTGTTTGTTTAAAAGCCGTCAGTCTGAGCATTGATTTTTCTGGTTATGACACTGTGTTGTGTATCTGGATTTCTGATCACAGTCTTAATACTTTCTGTAAATTGTGCTTCCGCTGGACTTTTACTGTTGCACTTTATTACTGGAGTCGACCAGAGACGGTCACATGTGAATGCAAAACACAGATGCAATAAGTAAATGTGGGATTTCATAGCAAGAAAAAGTAAAAGTAATCATTCTCACAGTACAAATTGTTCCTTCAAACATCGTAAGGACTCGTCTTGAGAAGTGTCTCAGAGGGAAAGGTCTCCTGAGGAAGAGTCTGAGGGAGACGTGTGGACAGGCCTAATAAGGACATTCTTTTTTAGAAAGGAATCTGGATTACTAATGATGATTCCCACTACTTATGTACAGTTTTTTAATGAGTAAATGAAAACTCTAAGTTTCACTTGTCTTCAGGCTTTACCTCGTTTGAGTTTGAAATAACTATGGTTTAACCAGTGACTCCATGAGTAAAAAAAAGAAGGTAGCCTGAGAGGAAACCGTTTTGTTTTTTGTTTTGTTTTTTTAAATCTGAATATAAACTCTAATAAGTTCGTAAGAGTAATTAAAAGCCCACTGTGACTCTGGTGCAATAGAATGAACCCTCTATCATTTTACATTATTTTTTTTAATGACATTTCAGTGAGCTCGAAATTCTAAGCAATGAGAAAACAAAGCTAAGGGCATGCATCATGGATAAAGCTGGACCTTGAAATCTGGTGAAAAAAAAAGCTTTGTAAAAGCTTTTAATATTTGTTGAAATGCATAGATAAAGAAGGAACAGGAAGCTAAAATGTGTGGGTTAGCCATTCAATCAACAAGTGTCTTACATTCTTCATCTGTGTCAAAGCAGGTAGAGCACCCTCTGCTGGATCACAGTGGGATTATTAATGGTTGTTGGATGTGCTCTGGATTGAATATATTAAATGTGAAGCCTTTTTTTTTTAGGTCTCAAACCCCACCCCTAAAACCAGAGGCTAATTACTCTCCAGACAAAAGAGCCAATTATTTAAAAAACACCAAGTCTGTGCGAAACAGTGGTTTTGTCTTGTGAGATTTTTAGCTTGTGTTTCTGTTCAGTGTTTGAGTTTTGTTGTTGTAGTAGTTGGTTTAACATGTTATCGCTGCTATCATCGTACCAAAGCAGCCGTGTGTGGACTTTTCCTTTGCTCTCATTTAAAATTGCTGTGTCTTCTCAACACAGGAAATCTCACCACACCACTTAAACTGAGGCGGCCATTTTGTGCAGTGGAAGCCAAACTGTTGTTTTTGTTTTTTTTGTTTTAATTTAAGGGCTACGTTGACTTAATATGCACCACCCGCTGTTTCATCAGGCTTCTGCTTGAGGCATTAGCTTTACCTTAGCCTGAGCTAAAGCCGTAGCATTAGCTAAGCCTGACTAGAAGCGCTAGCATTAGCTCAGCCTTAGCGTTAGTGTTAGTTCAGTCTGAGCAGGAGCGATAGCATTAGTATAACCTGAGGTGAATCTTGGATTCATTTTATGTTACTTCATGCTAACTTCAGGACGTCAAGTCCGTTTTTTTTTTTTTTGTATTTAGCTCTACAATGCAACCTCATGTATAATGTACGATGTGTGCTAGCTGCTAACTTTACTTTGCACGCTCGCTAAAAAAAAAAGAAAGGAAGAAAGAAATTCATAGTTATCACCAAAACATTATAAAGGTTCAGTCATCAATACAAAAAGTTCACGACGAAGAGAATAGACATCGTGGAGCCATAGTGACAGACCGCTGTACCTACTGTTGCCACACTTTGTTGCATGAAATCTGTGACCAAGACAAGCGCAGGGTGACCACTGAAACAGTTGTTCCACTGAAACAACTGACAAATGTCTGTGATTTTTCTCTGTAAATAACTGGCACTGTTAAAAAACACCCATGCTCACGGATCACCACGGAGCGTCCAAAAGGTAGAAGAGCTGCAATAGAGTTCTTGTCATGTTCTCGTTAAAATATGGCTTTAAAATATTTGTTCCTGTTATTTTGAAATATAACGTATACATTCAATTCTTTTGGTAGTTCTACCTCGTTAAAGGTTAACACTGTTTATTCATGCCAAAACATTTTTTTTTTTTTTTACTCCTGAACATTAATTGTTCTCCCACTCAACACAACCTGTATATTTTCAAAATAAAAGTCTTGGTGACTGAAACACTTTTTAGTTTTTCAAAATGACATTTTTGGTGTATGTAGACTAACAATCAAAACAAAATTCATATGTTCTGTTTGTCCCTAACTTTTTTTAAGGCGTATTTGATATGTCTATGCTGTATTAAATTAAAGACAAACAGGGTGATATTGTACAGAAAACTCTTAGATTTTGTTATTCATCTTCAGCTTTGATTGTTTCCCAAAAACCAGATTCTTGAAGGAGGATTCAGGTGATGGACAATGATTTTTAGTTGCTTTTTGTTTTACAGGAAAACATCATTTGAACTTGTTTTTTTTTACCATTAGCCTTGATCTTAACATGTAAAGAAGACTTGAGGAACTTGCAGGAACTTGCAGGACTTTTGATCTTAACATGTAAAGAAGACTTGACGCAGCAGGAACTTCTGAGTTAGCTTGAGACTGGTTTATTTGTGATAAGTGATGGCAGTTTTTTCTTTCGGTACCTGCATCACGACTTGTAAAATATTAGTTTTCGTTAGCTAGGTTAGTATTTGTATGTGGTGCTGTTGGGTCAGGGAGAACTGTTGTTAGTGATCCAAAATGAGCTGAAGCCCCGTATCCTTAAGCTGTGAGGTTTTCTCATCCGTTATTCTATCTATCGTACTCTTCAACCTTTGTCAAGTAACACCGTTAAAACATGTATTCAATGGTTAAACTGTTATTCTCTGCATTACTGTGAGTGGTGTTACTGTTTTATTACTGCTACAACCTTAGTGCTTGTAATGTCAAAATTGAAAATGAAAAGTGAAGTTTAAAAAAAAACAGTCTTGCATAGTTCAGATACTGTGAATCACTGTTATTTGTTTTATTCAGAATAGTTGAATTAAATGGGAATTAGGCTTTGTATTTTTAAGTGAAATGGAAGAAAAAATCTCGGCGGTTTGTCTTCCTGCTTAGCTGGGCTAAACAGAACAGTTCTTCAAATCTGACTTGTGAGTTTGTGTTTTACGCCATTGTAGGTTTAAAACACGTTTTGATTACATGTCCTACAGGGAAAAGACACGGCAGTTTTGACCGGTACATCATTGTAGCCATGTTTTGTTGTGTATCTTACTGGACCGTTAAAAAACTTTCACCAATGTCAAATGATTCAAGGTTGTTTATTGCCACACGTTTCTGTGTATTTCTGACCCAAATATAGGGCTGTGTGTGTGTGTGTTAGCTTGCTATACCCATGTTAAGCATAATTTGTATTGCATTATTTAAGCAAAGACAATTTTATCACACTTTGCATTTTTTATTTCCCTAATCCATCTGTATGTAGAAGGAGAGCCGGTGAACTAATTTTCAAAAGTAACATAAAAATTTAAAAAAACTTTTATTAATGCGCCCCATGCCATTATACATGACTAGTAATGCACACATTTGAAGCATTTCAATGGGGTCATGTTGTGAACACAGACAAATGGCCTCGGGAAAACAGTATAGTATCATCAACATAGTCATTGAACAACAACTACACCTGATGGATTCTTCAGTTTTTGCAATAAACCTGTGGCGTCTGCCGTTGGTTAAGCTGTGGCACTGGGTTTGATGATCCGTGAGCGTCTTTCACTGTAAAATACATGTAATCAGTTTTTTCTTTTCTATCAAAATACCAACTGTACATGTACAGAACTGCTTGTATAATCTGAAGCATGTATTTTAAACTTTTTTGTAAAAATCAAATGATAAAAGTGTACATATATAAATATACATAAATGTAGAAGGTGGTAAGGTTTGCAGTTAATCTCCTAATAGCATGATTGTTAGCGGGGTTTAGTATGTATGTATGTACAGGCTCTATGTTAAATCTTTACAAAGGGAAACACTTGAAATCAGCTGACATCAGACTGCGTGCTGTCTATCCATAAAACACTGCAATGCATTTTTTTGTGCCTTTTATATCGATGTATGTAATCCAGACAATCTTGGGAAGCTTGTGTACAACCAAAATGACATTAAAATGAGTTGGGGGACAAACGCGAAAGACGACGTGGTTTTTCTTTAGCTTCAATGACACGACGTTGCTAAATGACAGGGTTAATATTTGTTCTTCCCGGGATTCATTTAACCCATTTTTGATTCTTTTCTTTTCCAGTTTTTGATTATTTGTCACTATTTTTGCTATCCTTTATGCAACAGCATTAAGTAAGCTACATGAAACATGAAATATCTGGTGATCTCAGATGGTTGGTTGGTATACCGTACCTTCTTCATGACCCTGTTCGTTACCCTGCCCATGACAAAACTGTTTTCTTCATTGTCGTTAAAGAAGGTCTTGACGCTCGTAATCAAACGTTGTATCTTGTTTTGAGTCATTCCATTAATATATGAAAAAAACATCTTGTCTTTTTAGGAGTTATCACCTGAGGACCGTAGCGCTCCATCTCCAGCCTCTCCAGACTACAGAACAAAGGGCCAGAGTGACGAAAAGGAGCTTTTCCACATCCTGCCTCAACTCCAGGCCAAGAGAGCGGACTTCCTCACCGTCATGTTGACCGGCCCTTTGCCTCAGCGCAGGAGTCTGGCCACGCCTGATGAGGAAATCCCTGAGCCTCCAGGCCCAAAGGATGATGATGTCACTAAGAGTGAGTCCAACAGTGACGGCAGTCAGAAAAGCACCGAGCGCAGCCAGGAAGCGGCTCCCTCCACGCTCATGGCAGAAGACCAGAGGGCGCCACGGGAGCACCCCTCTGCAGCTGATGCAGACCCGGACATGGAGGATGCTTCAAAAACTCTTGTCCTTTTCTCCCCCGGGGACACTCGTAAGTCTCCCTCTGGTGGTGAGCACGGACTGGAGGGTGAGTTGGCCACACCCACTGCCCTGTCCTACCGTACTGACCGTCTCCTGGTTGGAGAGTTAGTCCAACCTGAACCGTCTGAGACTGGCCGCTTGTCTCCAGCACTCAGGTCAGACCTGAGGCCGTCTACGCCAGTTGCTCCTGCATCACCGCCCTTCACCAAGGTTGAGCGCACTTTCATCCACATTGCTGAGACATCACATCTCAATGTCATGTCTTCTAATGGCCACTCTGCCAAGGACAGTGACCGGGATGTCTTAGGCATCGTGAAAGATTTACCAGTGGAGGACAACACCTCTGAGCCTGAGGGAACTCCTGTGAAGGAGGACCTTCCAGAGGTACCAGACCAAACTCCTTCAGTTGACAAACAGTTGAAAACTGAAAGTGGTCTGTCAACTGTATTGCCCGAGTCGTTGGACCCGGTCTTGAAGGCAATGTCTCCAGTTCATGAAAATAAAGATCTCATACAGGAACGTAGGGACGACGGTGCCAAACCTCTGACCCCTGTTAGAGAACGGCCGACTGTGACAAAGGCCAGAATTAGAAGCCGTATCCCAGTTCTTATTTCTGAAGAGGAATCGGGTTCTGAACAGTCTGCGTCCCTCTCAGCTCGGACTCGTCTTCACCAGCGAGCCAAGCAACTGGACTTGACCCGTCTTCTGGTGCAGAAGCAACAGGGTCTTTGGATAAGAAGGAGAATGCTGTCAGGAACCTCATCGTCATTGTCTTCTGGGGACGATGAACGTCCTAGAGTTTCAGAAACACTTTCCACCACCGGCTCAGAGGAGGACACACACACCTCCGATGAGTCAAAGAGAAGTGTCCGTTACAGGACAGCTGAAGGACAGGGTTCCAAGGAAAGTCGAAGTAGGATTCCCAGGCCTGTCGCCCCCGTGAATAGGTCTTTAGGAGGTCTCGCTGCTCTTTCTCCGTCTCCTCTCTCTCTACCAGACTCCAGCAGTACCAAAGGAGCACCACCATACGCCAACGGGTATTGTGATGATGTTCCCTTTTTAGTGAATAAAACCGTTTCAGGATGTTGTAAGGTGATGTTTCAAAGAAATCCAACATGTTTAATTCTGTCATTTTTATTTTACAGGAATCAGAAAATTGGACTCAGCACTTTCAGTACCCAGTGTAAATCAAAACCTCCGTTACCCCGCTCCTCCTCATCTTGTCCCCGCCCTTCTGCCTCCTGTCCCCGTCCCTCTGCTGCTCCTGCCACATCTGGCAGCCCTCGAATGCCCCTGCGAGCCCTGTTTGGTACCCGGCGCAGCCTTAGCTCTGCCCACTGCAGGACTGATAGCCCTTCCCCACAGAGAGCCGGTCCATCCAGGCAGCCCCTCTCAGTTCGAGCCCCTACTGTCCCCATGCTACCGCCCAGGACTACAACAACAATGCGGCGCAGTGCTTCGCAGGACCCCGCTGCACAGTCCTCCTCTGGTACCGCATCAGGGAAGAGCCGGCCAAAAGCAGCTGGGCCGACCAGGGGTAAGGCAAATGCCAGGGAGAAGTCGGTGACCGCTAGATAATACAAAGAAACTCCTGACTGAGACGTGTTTGTTTGTGCATAATCAGCCATTAAACAAGCCACGGCTCAAGGGTTCACACTTGGTTCCATATCAGACTGTGCTGTTCTAGTGGCCTCCTTTTAATCAGTAAACATCCAAGAACCTCTTAATTTTCCCCGGGACAGCAGACTCATTTGTCTTCATGGTCTTCCAGTATTCTTGACTGACTCCAGCAGGAGCACGGGTGCCACGGTGCTATGGATACATCTGCTCCACCCAGGACTATCCCTGATGTAACTGATCCCAGCAGGTGAGAATAGTGGCCTCCCATCAAGTCCACTTTCACTGACTATAATGTTCCGCAGTACCATCAACAAGGCTGTCCAAGGCTTTACTGATCCTCAGCTGACAGTACCCTGCTTGGTTCCAATTGCATGGTAAGGCATATAGCAAATGGAGGAAATCTGAAGAGGGAAAGCTGTGTTTACCTTAAAATATTGTTCTGCCCTTCATATTGGCCAAAAAATTGTAATTGAACTGTCTTGAATACCCAAACTATCTATATTATTATATTACGAAATCCCTTACAATACTCTACTGTGGAAAAAGAGAAGAGTGTAAAGTGAAGACAAAACAATTAGCTTGGCTGCTAGCGCCTTCTTATGGTGTAACGCTGGGCATGTTTTATTCCGCCTATTTTCTCTGTGTCTTTATTTTATCTATACGCCCTAAATTGTACAGTATATTATAGAATTGTTTGCCATGAAGACATCTTTATTTTTATCTTGCGAAGCAGAGTGTACATTTTAAGCCTTTCAACATTACATTCTAATGTGTTGGCGCTGTCATTTTTTTTAACGCATGAGAAAAACAGGGTCTACCGTGTGAGGGCCACATTATACCCGCTTGAATTCTGCTGACGCTGCAAAGGTCTGCTCGTTATCAGAGCCCTTGTTGTGTTTGTGAAGGGGTTGGTGGGCACTGAACTGTGAAGTAAAGTTTCAATCACGTGAAATGCTGTCCTGTCATTCTTCTCCTCTTTTTAACCATCGTTTCTAGAGAACAACAAATAATAGTGTATGTTGCCAGTTGCCTTGGTCTAGACCAGAGGTTTTCAAACTTTATTTGCCATTTACGAACTCTGGAAACATTTGTCTTCTCAAGTTCGACCATGTCCTTTATTAAAAGCCTCTACAGCAATACAGGCCTACGTGCTCGACTCCACACAGTATACAAAGAAAATATTTTGTTTGTTATATTATTGTTTGTCTGTTTATTTTTCCTGTCATTCTATTGTGTTCAGAACAGGTGAAGATGACTGAAGTATTTTTGGTGCAACAAAAGTTAAGTTACAGTATTTACAGTCTGTGCACATTTTCCATTTATTTCTAAATACTCATGTAGTGAAAAACTTTGTCAAAGCTTTAAGAAGAGCTCGAAAGATGTTTTTACATGTGTTTGTTATTTAAAATATATTTTTTGTGGACGTTTATTTGAAGAAATGTTAATTTGTAATCTCGGGCGTACAAGAAGCGGCAGGATTGATGGAGAGTTTTATGTTGTAATTACACTGCTAGTCATGTAGAGGGCAGTATTGAATCTCCAACAGCATTGACGCAGCAGCAGTAGTATTAGCGAAGAAGAAGCAATTT